AATTCCCAAAGCTTAATTCAGCATTGGCACATGGTTCTTGAAACCCTAAACCCTAAACTGAGTGATGGTGCCGTACCGTTTTATTTTCTGTATCTTCCTAGTTCACGGGTATTGGGCTGGCGGTGATTGGGGGTTGAATTGGAAGCCGGTCGGGGTTGCTTAAGGCCTTAAGGTTACCTGAAGATCCTAGTTTGCAGGAAATGGAAAAATTTGGATTTCGGATGTTGTTTTTTTTTTTTTTCGAATTTAGAGTTTACAGGGCACATATAGGGTTTCGTTCGTTTCAGGATCCAGGATCGGATTGTTTGAGGATTTCGGGGTTTGGGAGGGATTTATGACTGACCTCAAGTTTAGGGAGTTCGAGGCTATACAAGGAGTTGCTGGCTTCACACATTTGTGTTGGGAGTCAACGGCCTGTAAGTGCGATTCGCCTTGCGTTGCCAGTACGCTAGCAGTCCCACTTGCCGCCGGCAGTACGTAAAACCCCCAACCCCCGTTCCCAAGCCCCGACAAGAGCCGCAGCAATAATACAGGGGCCTTATATAATAATTAGAATAGGGTTCGGGGGTCAGATCATTCTATAACTATAATAAGGAGCCCCCGAAATACTAGGTGATTATGAAAGGCCTCTACATTAGATCGCCTATACTACAAAAAGAATAAGGAGCCCCCAGAACTCGATTCTAGTTATTAGTGTTATATTAGGGCCCCCAAAATGCCAGGCCTGGTGAATTTCAGCTTGCACGTGAGGCTCTTGAGGGCGCCGAGTTTCTTGAAATTTACCATCTACGGTAGTATATAGTATAAGATACTATAAGATACCATAAGATACCATAAGATACCATAAGATACCATAAGATACCATAAGATACTATAAGATACTATAAGAGACTATAAGATACTATAAGACGCTATAAGACGCTATAGTATACGAGGGTTTAGGGCTTTGGGAGGTTGCATATGGCTTTGGACTTCGGTCTGGTGCTGTGGAGTTGATGCTATTTATCAAAGTATCCCCGATTCCCAGAGGCTCCAATATCCCTTAATTAAGGAATATACCTTAAATCATATTAAGGATCCTAATATAGTTTAAGGAATATTCCTTAATTAAGGGATATTGGAGTCTCTGGGTTCCCTGTCTAAGTTACCGGTTTGCCCTTGCGCAACCCTGCAACCCTGACACTCCCCATGCTCGACGCCGTGGAATTCATAGGCCTCACAGGCCGCATCCCGCAACCTCTCCCCTTGACTGCAATCCGGAGGCCTGCGCCCGAAGGCTTTAGATTTTAGGGTTCATCGGGTTTGGGTGGTATGTAGGGGTTTAAGGTGTTGAAGATTTGGTCTTCAAAGACCCTGTTTGCTTCAACAGACCAGGAGATTGCTCGCACATTCTGGACGAGCTGGTTGATGTTGTGGATCTACTGGGCGGCTAGGCTTTTCAAGAACGACTCCCTTGTTATTTGCAGCAGAGATAAGGATTTGTGGTTTGGGACGTCCGCAGCCGAATTTTTGTTGAGGGCCCATGTCCTTGTAGTCTGAGGGCATTTTGCGCATTCCAAAGAGTGCGCTCCCCTTATGCAGCCTTCGTCGCAAGAACACTGCAATCAGGATTGATAAGGCTGGAAGCTGTTTCAAGCCCGTGTAGAAGGTAGAACTTTCATAGAAACCTCTTTAAGCCGTTACAAGGAGAAGCATTTCGAAACTTGGGGTACAGGATTTCAGGGTGCTGGGTCCTCGACGATTTTCGCTGAAAGTCTGCGGTTTAGGGTTTGTGATTTAAGTATACAGGTCAGGGGTTTCTGGGTATGACGGTTCAGGTTTTAGGCTCTCGGGCATTCGGGATAAACCGCACGGGGTGCTTCAGCACAAGGGTTCCGGGTTGGTGTATCCATGCATCCAAACCCTTGGCTCTAACTTTTCAATATCCCGCTACTCACTTTTTGAGGTTCTGACCCCCAAACCCTAAAGCCCTAAACCCAAAACGCAAAGACCGTGCTTTCGAAAAGGTTGCGGCTGGAGGCAAGTCCTTACAGCTTTCGCTCCCATGCCATTTGTCCGAAAGTCTTGAAGGCTGCGGCATACATCGCGTGAACCCCAATTTAACTCGTTAAGTCTTATAAGAACCTACAAAAAAAGTAGGTTTTGGTAGGTTACGGTATGCCCCAAGACCCAAAGCTCGTTTGTAAACCCTAAACCCTAAACCCTAAACCCTAAGCCCTAAGCCGAGGCTCTGATTCCCTTTTCGCCGCCCTCCGCTCGAATGGCTCAGCAATCGTTTCTTGGCTCAATGAGGCTTTGGGGGGTGCTTTGGGGGGTTTGGCGTTTAGGGTTTAGGGGGTTTAGGGTTTAGGGTTTAGGGGAACCAAGCAGTCCGCATGAAAACAGCATCCTGTAGGGTTCCGCTGTTAGGGTTAGGATTTAGACTTGAAGTTTTTAGGCCAAGGGAACCCTAAACCCTACACCCTAAGCCCCCAAAAACACGCAAATATGAAGACACCCAGAGCTTCGTCACCTCCATCCGAGAGCCTTGAAGCGAGCCTGATAGGCCTCGAGGCCAAGACTCAACTCTGACGCTAAACCCTGCACCCTAAAGCCTAAATCCTACGCTAAATAATCCTAGGGTCCTAAACCCTTAACCTTAAGATCCTAAATGCTAAACCCTCAACGCCAAACCCTGTGATCCCAAACCCTAAACCTTAAGATCCTAAATGCTAAACCTTAAACTCTAAATCCTAGAATCCTAAACCCTAAACCGTAAGATCCTAAGTCCTAGACACTAAACTCTAAACCCTAGGATCCTAAACCCTAAACCTTAAGATCCTACACCCTAAATTCTAAACCCTAGGATCAAAAGCCCTAAAAAAAAGATCTTAAGCCCTAAAGCCTAGACTCAAGCCAAGGTCTGGGGGGGCGAGAGCTGTGAGGCAACCGTGCACGCCTGAGGTCGCTCCCCGACCGACGTGGCAACGTGATGTGGATAGTTGATGTTGTCTATCTATCTATCTACATCTCTATCTCTATCTATATCGAAGTGTTTACATATATATATATATAGAGATATATATATATATATATATATAAATATATATATATATATGGGTAGTTGTCAAAATTAGGGTCCCTTTGGGGGTACCCTAAATAATAGGTGCCGTACTGTAATAAGGACCCAAAAAAGGGACTATAGTTTTGACATCCACCCATGTTAACATCATAGACTAAGCCCTAAACCTAACCCTAAACCTTAAACCCTAAACTCTAAACCCTAAAACAAAACGTATACTAGACTATGAGGTTTGCCGAGCAGCTTGTTATCCTCGGATTGGACGACACACCTAAACTTGGGACCTTGGCGCTTGGTCGTGTTCAGGAAACTTAGGGTTTAGGGTTTAGGGCATGCTAAAGCCTTGAGATCCTAAGCCCTATACGGATAATCATAACCATAATAACAATAATCAAATTAGCAATGATAGTCACAATCATTGTATCTGGTTAATTATAAGAAAAATAATAGTAGCAGTAATAGTAATGATGACAATATTTCTAATAAAGAAGCCACAACGTCCAAAACTCGAGACAGTGGCGGCTATGGACAGCCTCGACGTGCCGTCTCACTCGACCGTCCTTCTACCGTCCGGCCAAGCCAGAAAAGACTGATGGGGGTTTAAGGGTTTAGAGTTAGGGGTTTTGGGTTTAGGGGATGAGGATTTTGGGGTTTTGGGGTTTCGGGGTTTAGGGATGCCCTTAGCCTTGAACCGGCGCCCTGACTGGAACAGTGATCGTTGTTGTTAAACTGAAGATGGGAAGCACAATGACAATGTAGTTCAGTGAAGCCTATCTTGGATAGTTGTCTAGTTCGTGGCTTGTTTGGGCTGTGGTTTCTTGTTGAGGGATCTCCGCACAATTATTGGCTGCCCACCTGCGAACAGGAGGAATTAGGAGAACGATCAGAGTCAGAAAAGCAGTGTAGAGCGCATTCTAAGTATCTCCATCTGTAGGGTTTGGACGTCTATGCTCGTTGGAACTTAGCGGCAGTTTGGATGACGCGCGTGTCGGCAAGACCCTAAACCTTAAACCCTGAACCCTAAACCCTAAACCCTGATCTAGCTCCCCGGGTAGTGCCCTCGTGTCCGCTCTTATATGGTTTTTCCCGAAGCCGACACGTAAACACCCTAAAGCCCTCCTCTACCCTAAAGCCCTAAACCCTAAAGATCCCCTAAACCCTAAAGCCCTACACCCAAAGACCCTACATCCCGAAACGATCGCCCCCTTGACCCAAGCCCTGAAAACTTCTACACCTTCAGGGACGGTTGACCGCCTGGAAGCAAGAATCCCAAGAGGCACCTTCTTAGATAGCCAATAGGAGAACTTTAAACTTTTTGGCCTTCTTTATTAGGTCTATCCTAACAAGTTTGAACTTGTTTTTGCCTGGTTGTTGAAGAAGAAAGCCTTTCTGTTGCAGCCAGGCGCCTACAAACTCTAACACCCCCAGACCTTCAGTGCCAGTGTAGCGCCCTAAACCTAAACTTTACCTAAAGTCTCCATTCTAGTTCCTTTTTTTTCGGTTTAACGAATTTAACTAATTACAAATTAAGGATTCTATAAGGTATCCCCCAAAAGGAACTATAATGGAGACTACAGGTAGATCCGAGACTCTTTTACCGAAAAACAAGCCAGGATTAAAAAAAAAAACAAGAAGTCCTCGTTTTGAGTTCTAAAGCAGAACCGATTATGTTGTATCATGTCATATCATCTTACACCCTAAACCCTGAACCTTAAACCTTAAGCGCTAAGCCCTAAAGCCTAACTCCCTAAACCCAAATTCCTAAACCCTAAACCCTAAACCCCAAACCCTAAACCCTAAACCCCTAAACCCTAAACCCTAAACCCTAAACCCTAAACCCCTAAACCTTAAACCCTAAGACCTAAAACCTAAACCCAAATTCCTAAACCCTAAACCCTAAACCTAAGCTTTGAAACCCTAAACAGCTGAGAGAGCCCAGGCGAAGAGTCGAGGGATGAGCCCGTCCGTCCTCCCGAGCGTGGCGAAAGCTCCACTTGGGGCATCCTCAACCTCGCCAAGAGAGCCCTGGCATTTTGGATTTCTGGGGGTTTAGGGTTTTAGGATTTCGGGTTTAGGGGTTTAGGGGTTTAGGGTTTAGGGTTCTCGGATCCTCAACCTCGCCAAGAGAGCCCCGGCGTTTTGGAGTTTTGGATTTCTGGGGGTTTAGGGTTTTGGGATTTCGGGTTTAGGGTTTAGGGGTTTAGGGTTTAGGGGTTTAGGGTTTAGGGTTTAGGGTTTTAGCATCCTCAACCTCGCCAAGAGAGCCCCCGGCGTCGTGGATTTCTGGAGGTTTCGGGTTTAGGGTTTTAGGATTTCTGTTTTCGGGTTTGGGGTTATAGGATTTTTGTTTTAGACTTTAGGGTTTAGCATCCTCGCCTTTAGGGCTTATGGGCCAGCCCTAAACCCCTAAACCCTAAACCCTAAACCCTAAACCCTAAACCCTAAACCCTAAACCCTAAACCCTAGACCCTAAACCAAAGCCGCGAAGAGAGCCCCGGCCTTGGGGTTCTGAAAGGAGTTGGGTGGGGCCTTCAGGGCTGGATTTGGGTTTAGGGCTTTGGGATTTGGCTTTAGGGTTTAGGATCTGTGTTCAGGGCTTAGGGTTTAGGGTNNTAGGGTTTAAGGATTTAGGATTTGGGTTGAGGGCTTAAGGATACAGGATTTGGGGGGGTGAGGATTAGGATGTCGGGTGTTTTGTTATCCACAGCCTAGCAAAGGCAACCGTGGATTGGGGGTTCTGAGGGGGGGGGGGGGTTC